CACACACACACACACACACACACACACACACACACCCACACACACCGCCCAACAGAGCAGACTTGGTTCTGATCAGGATCAGTTTCTGCTGTCTGTCTAAATGTTTGATACAGAAACAAAGCTGGCATTTATAATCAGGTCTCATCGAGACGGGGTGGGACGGCAGCATCCATCGTCTGAGTAGGGTCTGAAACCTGTGGCTCTGGAGCCCCATGTGGCCACTTGAAACTGAGACTAAAACCACAGAAACCTGTCATGTTGACTTCCTGTTTAAGCAGGAAGTACTTCAGCTACTCATCTTTTCTTTTAGTTTTATTCAGGAGAGAAAAATTTATGCTCAAAGATTATTTCAGATATAGAAACAAACAGCTGGTTTCTTATAATCATGAGCAAAATAAAAATAGAGGAGTACCTTAACAGCCAACTTGTTAAATAAAGGTTGTGGTTTTCTGTTTCAAATAAAATAATAAAATCTACAGACTGATCTGACTGTAGTCCAGTATTTTATTTATCTCTAAACTGACCACAGTCTGCATTTCTCTCATTCTTAATAGAAAATATATTTCCCTTTGATCTCAACACATTAAAACACAACAAACTGTAGTTTTATTGACTAAATAATGGTCATATGTGGCTCAGAACCAACTTTATTTGGTGTGAAAGATTAAAATTGTCTCTTGTCCTCACACCGTCTCTGTCTGCAGACACTTTGTCTCCATGTTGGACAGAGTTTACTGCTTCAGGACATTTTACATTTATATATTCAGAACCAGACCAGAACACCTTTAGTCCAAATGAGTGAGGATCGGTCCATCAGTCTGCAGCATTTCAGATCATTGGGTCCAAACATTAAGTTCCAGCTCCCAGGGAGGGTTTGAGTTCTGGACAGCTGGCAGCAGGTCCAACCTGCTCCAAGTCTCTGAACTAAAATCACTCAAGTCCTCCACTGGTCAACATCATCCCAACAAAAATAGTGTAGTCCAGTTCAGTAAAGCTTTTAGAACCAGAACTCAGTTCTTCAACAGGTTGTTGTCCCAGTCAGCTGACAGCTGGCTCAGATCTGTCCTGGGCTCCAAAAGTCCAGGTTTTGTGGAAACATTCTGGAAATTTCAGAATACGGACCTGTTTCTGACCGACCCAGCACTCAGGACTCCCACCCCCATTGCCCACCAGATCTGCAGCTGGTCATCACCGTGGCAACAGTTTTTGTGTCCTTGAGGAGGACTTGCAGCGATGGTGGACCCAAAGTACTTGAGGCGTCCACAAAGCTGCCTGCTGAATGCCTGTTTCTGAACACAAAATGGTAATGAGGTACTCTCACCCCAGAACCGAGTGCTGGGAAAACCCAATCAGCACCACAGGCCCAGTTCATGAGAGATGGCAGTTTGGTTTCAGTAGAATCAGAGTTTTAAACTTTAAGACTGCCCGATGAAACTGGACTTCCTGTCAAACAGAACCACCATCATTAATGGTAGACACTTCCTATCAAACAGGACCACCATTATTAATGGTAGACACTTCCTGTCCAACAGGACCACCATCATTGATGGTAGACACTTCCTGTCCAACAGGACCACCATCAATAATGGTAGACACTTCCTGTCCAACAGGACCACCATCATTWATGGTAGACACTTCCTGTCCAACAGGACCACCATTAATGGTAGACACTTTTTGTCCAACAGGACCACCATCATTAATGGTAGACACTTTTTGTCCAACAGGACCACCATCATTAATGTTAAAGACACTTTCTATCCAACAAGAGGACCATATTCCAACATGCTTTTTTTGTCTGCAGATTCCAGACAGAACTCGATCATGGGAGCCCCTCCATCCTTCAGTCATCAATCTCTTTTTCCGAGGTAAGTTTTTGTTTCAATTCTGTTTTCAGTAAACAGCCGAGTCAAAACGACCGAAATAAAAAAAACTTTGATCAAAAGTTCATCAAAAACAACAACTGGTCCTGTTGGACAAGGTTGGAGTTGTTAAACGACAGATTGGAGTCGTTAATCCATCACTTTGGACTTGTTAAACAACAGGTTGGACTTGTTAACTGACAGGTTGGACTCGTTAGACTCATTAAACAACAGGTTGGAATTGTTAAATGCAGGTCGAACTCGGTAATCGACAGGTTGGCCTTGTTAAATGACAGGCTGGACCTGTTAAACTACAGGTTAGACCAATTAAACGACAGGTTGGACTTGTTAAATGGCAAATTGGACTCGGTAATCGACAGATTGAACTTGTTAAATGACAGGTTGGAATCAGTAATCGACAAGTTTGACTTTTTAAATGACAGGTTAGACTTGGTAAACGACAGGTTGGACTTGTTAAACTACATGTTGGACTTGTTAAACTACATGTTGGACTTGGTAAACTCCATATTGAATTTGGTAAATGACAGGTTGGGCTCATTAAACGGCAGGTTGGACTTGTTAAATGACAGGTCGGACTTGGTAATCGACAGGTTGGACTTGTTAAATGACAGCTTGGACTTAGTAATCGACAGGTTGGACTTGGTTAACTGCATGTTAAATTTGTTAAATGACAGGTTGGACTCGTTAAACGGCAGGTTGGACTTGTTAAATAACAGGTCGGACTTGATAATCGACAGGTTGGACTTGTTAAATGACAGCTTGGACTTGGTATTCGACAGGTTGGACTTGTTAAACTACATGTTGGATTTGTTAAATGACAGGTTGGACCTGATAAATAACAGGTTGGGCTCATTAAATGGCAGATTGGACTTGTTAAATGGCAGGTTGGACTTGTTAAATGACAGGTTGGACTCTGTAATCCACAAGTTAGACTTTTTAAATGACATGTTGGACTTGTTAAACTACATGTTGGACTTGGTAAACTGCATGTTGAATTTGTTAAATGACAGGTTGGGCTCGTTAAACAGCAGGTTAGACTTGTTAAATGACAGGACGGACTTGGTAATTGACAGGTTGGACTTGTTAAATGACAGCTTGGACTCGGTAATCGACAGGTTGGACTTGTTAAACTACATGTTTGATTTGTTAAATGACAGGTTGGACCTGATAAATCAAAGGTTGGGCTCATTAAACGGCAGGTTGGACTTGTTAATGACAGGTCAGACTCGATAATCGACAGGTTGGACTTGTTAAACGACAGGTTGGACTCGGTAATCGACAGGTTGGACTTGTATAACTGCATGTTGGATTTGTTAAATGACAGGTTGGACCTAATAAATGACAGGTTGAACTTGTTAAATGACAGGTTGGACCAGGTAATCAACAGGTTGGGCTTGTTAAATGGCAGGTCGGACTCTGTAATTGACAGGTTGGGCTTGTTAAATGACAGGTTTGACTCTGTAATTGATAAGTTGAACTTGGTAAACGGCAGGTTGGACTTGTTAAACTACATGTTGGACTTGTTAAACTGCATGTTGAATTTGTTAAATGACAGGTTGGGCTCGTTAAACGGCAGGTCGGACTTGTTAAATGGCAGGTTGGACTTGTTAAACAGCAGGTTGGACTTGTTAAATGGCAGGTTGGACACAGTAATCAACAGGTTGAACTTGTTAAATGACAGGTTGGACTTAGTAATCGACAGGTCAGACTCGATAATTGACAGATTGGACTTGTTGAATGACAGTTTGGACTCAGTAATCGACAGGTTGGACTTGTTAAACTACATGTTTGACTTATTAAACTGCATATTGGACTTGTTAAATGGCAGGTCAGACTCAGTAATCGAACAGGTTAGATTTTTCCTGCATGTATGTTCAGCTGTGCAGCAAAGAAAAGGTTCCTGTGAAACAGGTTATCAGCAGTGTTGTTCCAAATGTTGCTCAGATCTTTTAAACGGGTTGGCCAGAGGAATAATCATATAACAGCTAAAAACTTGTTTGGGTCCGACTCGATGTACCCTCCAGCTCTGCTTCAGCCTCAGTGGGTTTGCTGCATCTGTTATTGAGAACAAATCAGAGGTGGCGGAGGTTTGTGCAGCTTAATGAGGCATCACTAATGCAGCTGGAGGTTCTGCTCGCAGCACACTCTGCCTCTTGGTTCTGTCTGCAGGACTCTCCAAAGGCCTGATCGGGTCTGACTGTTCAGGCCCATTGTGGTTCTGAGTCACCTTGGGTCAGTGGTTATTAGCAGCAGCTGAAACTCTGTCAGCAGCTCAGTGAAGAGGGATTGTGCATTCCAGCTCTCTGTAATGTCCGAGTGTGACCCATTTCTGTAATGAGGGATGAGGACCGCTTTAAGTTTTCTGTTGGAGGGACTGGAAGACTTGTAGAGGCCTAAGGATATGTCCTGTGGAGTCTGCGGGGCGTGTCCTGTGGAGTCTGCAGGGCGTGACCTGTGGAGTCTGCGGGACGTGTCCTGTGGAGTCTGCAGGGCGTGTCCTGTGGAGTCTGCAGGGCGTGTCCTGTGGAGTCTGC